GCTAAAGAACAGGTGTCGACTTGGGAGTAAGGCCACAGGTGGACGGTGAATGGCCCCTCCCAGAGGGAATAAAAGAGGAGCGGAAGGGGAGTGGAGTTTGCAGGAGACCATTAGTTCGCTTCATTGGTTCGTGACTCTCCGAGGCTCCTGGGCAAGTTTTGCAGATATCCACCACCTCCCATGCCCATCATACCTGCCCTCTCCCTTCCCACTCCCATGCGCTCCTCTTTCCCGCCCTGTGTACAATTCTGGCCCTTTGCTCCAAGCCCATCAGGCGCTTCCCCATTGGTCCACTGGAGGGCAAACATCACGGCTGGCTTTCCAGAGGAAGCTGCGAAGGAACTGACATCACAAACAATTGCTGCTCTTAGGACGCCGCACTCGCTCTCCTTAACGGGCCAGGCGTTCTAGAGTTATGCTGGAACACACAGACAAAGGCACCCCAGGGGTGTCTTAACACACACACACACACACACACACACACACACACACACCAGTATTTGTTTCCAGAGGGTAAGTCATCTGTGTACCAAGTTTGGTTGAAATTGCTCGAGGCGCTCCAGAGTTATGCTGGAACATACATGCCTACAGCCTTTTTTATATAGATTAAAATAAAATAATAAATAAATAACAAAGGAGATAAACTAATAAGACCTTAAAATGCGAGACACTGCAGTACTTCGCTTAACAACGGTCGTAACTTGGGGCACAGATCACTTAACAACTGGGTTGTCTTATCAGGAGGTTGCAGAAAGGGATCACGTGACCCAGGGACATTGTGACCGCCATAAATATGAATCAGTTGCCAAACGTCTGAATTTTGATCCCCTGCCTTGGGGATGCTACAATGGTCCTATGAAAAACGGTCGTCAGTCCCTTTTTTCGGCACCGCTGTAACTTCAAACGGTCACTAAATGAATTGTTGTCAGTCGAAGGCTACCTGTGATCCTTCCGCTTCTCCAGAGCAAGTGAGCGTCAGGCCTGCAGCCATCTTTCCTTTTGGGTCTTCGGCCTGCCACACTTTCCATTTTTCTACCCTGCATTTTTCTACTGTGGGAAAATGGGAGGTGGGGATTGTATGGAGTTAGGTGATATGTAGCCATAACAACATTCTTTCTAGAAAACCAAGGTCATCCTTTGTCTCTGCACCTCAGCACCTGATCGGAACTGGATGGGTGGAAACTGCCAGCGTGGCAGTGGGAGATTGGACCATGGGATGGACTTGTGGGTGTGGGGGGGCGAGATCTTGAACTTTCAACTGGGTGGGGAAAACCGGGAAGCTTTCAGATTCGGGATTTCCCAGATGTGCCAACATGGCTCTCTTCATCAATTGGGACTTTGAGGAATCCTTTGCCTTGGACTCTGATTTACTTTTGGATGCTATTTGGAACCCTGACGTTGAGTCTGCTTCAACCCAGATTATTTGGCAGGACAGTGTGAGTTTTCATGGTCAGAAAAAGGATCGACCGATCACCATACCTGGCGGGAAACGTCGGAGGGATCGCCTTACGTCCAACAGGACTTGCTGATAATCCTTGCTATTTTCCCGAAGTTCTTCCTCTAAACGGAACACCAAAAAATAGGATAGTTATTTGTAATTATAAAGACAGACCAGGAAACTAAGAATATAGGCTGTTAAACCATGACAATTTCAAGCCAGGCCTCTTAAAAAGATGGTTAAGGAGTTTCAGGCAGACAGGGAGTCTCATTTTCCAACTAACCAACATTCTAAAAAGTCCTCGACTTACAACAGTTCATTTAGCGATCGTTCAAAGTTACAACATCACTTAAAAAAGGGACTTATGACCAGTTTTCACTCTTACGACCATTGCAGCATCCCCGCGGTCAGGAGATCAAAATTCAGACACAAGAGTATCTGTAGTCCTCGACTTACAACCGCAACTGAGCCCAGAATTTATGTTGCTAAGAGACAGAGTTGTTAGGTGAATTTTGCCCCATTTCTCACCTTTCTCATCGCAGTTGTTAAGTGAATCACGGCATTTGTTAAGTTAGTAACCTGGTTGTGAAGTGAATCTGGCTTCCCCCATTGACTTTGCTTGTCTGAAGGTCGCAAAACGGGATCACTGTGACCGTCATAAATTCGAGTCAATTGCCACACATCCGAATGTAAATCATGTGACCACGGGGATGCTGCAATGGTTGTTAAAGTGTGAAAAATGGTCATAAGTCAGTGCTTTCAGTGCTGTTGCACCTTTGAATGGCCACTAAATGAACTGTTATAAGTCGAGGACTACCTGTAGACTAATCCAGCTCCCCCACTACAATCTCTTCAAAGCACAGCTTTGCCTTCATTGGGAAGAAAAAATGCACCAGGATTAAACTACCTACACTATATTGCCAAAAGTATTCGCTCACCCCGTCCAAATAATCAGAATCAGGTGTTCCAATCCCTTCCATGGCCACAGGTGTATAAAATCAAGTCCTTAGGCATGCAGGCTGTTTTTGCAAACATTGGTGAAAGAATGGGTCGCTCTCAGGAGCTCAGTGAAGCCCAGCGTGGAACTGTGATAGGATGCCACCTGCGCAACAAATCCAGTCGTGACATTTCCTCGCTCCGACGAATGAGCGCAGAAGCGCATCGACAACAGCGCGCCGACAGAAGCGCGCTCTAAACCTAACCCTAAAGGTAACCCTAACCCTAACTGTAATTGCGCTTCTCTTGTCGCTCTTTTGTCAGCGTGCCTTTGTGGGTGCGCTGTCGATGTCGCGGTTTTATCGCTGCGGTTTTGTCGGCGTGCTGTTGTCGGGCGCGCATTTGTCGGGTCACGGAATAAATGTAGCTCAGGGTTGAATTGTGGGGTCCTTGGTGCCTGGCTGTTTACTTGAAGACGTTTCATGACCAAACTAGATAATATCTTCAGGGTTATTTAGGATTTTATTTAGGATTTTATTTATGATTTATAGGCCGCCCTTTTCCCTGAGGGGACTCAGGGCGGCTTACAATACATGGGAAGGGGGGNCACACACACACACACACACACACTACGAACATCCTGCATAATCACAGGAACAACACAAAGGGCACAATGCAAGTGACGCAAACTGCAATCCGAGAAATACTTGTGTTTATTATACTCCTCCAAGGATGTTTAAGAAATGCAGACGGACAGCATTTTTATCTGAGATCCTGGAGGGGAGCTGGAGCCTCGTTTGGGGGTGTTTGTCCTGTTTTTGGTTTAAACATCAGAAATTTGTTCATTTTGTTAGTGGGGGGCAGGAATTTAGGGTTAAAGGTGTGAGCAAGACGTGGGAAATAAGACACCCACAAACATGCCATGTAAAGGGTTTGGATGTGTTATACGTGAAGGGCACCTAAAGGGATTTTTGTGTTACAATGGGAAAAAATATAACTCTTCTGGATTTTAAGTACAGCACAAAGAATCCTTGGCTTACGAGCCCAAACTTTACTGAATGAGACATTTGTTAAGTGAGTTTTGCCACCTTTTACCCCTTTTCTTGCCACGACTGTGAAGTCAGTCACTGCGGTTGATAAGTGAGTCCCCCGGTTGTTAAGTGAATCTGGCTTCCCCATTGACTTTAATCGTCAAAAGGGGATGATAAGAGCCCAGGATACTGCGACCGCCATAAATATGAAACCACCTGAATTTTGATCACCTGATCAGCGTGCGACACAGCTCATAAATGGGAAAAATCGTAAGTCACTTGCAGTGCTGTTGCAACTTTGAACTGTCACTAAATGAATTGTTGTAAGTTGAGCACTACCTCTATTCAGGGTGACCATGTTGTGGTCCGCCGGCGGCCAGCCGAGCTGACATGGGCCAGTCCTGGGGGCTGAGGAAAACTCAGACGAGGGCTCTGTGTCGGAGGCATAGAGGGAGCTACACAGCAGTGAGGCAGAGGAACAGCAGGAGCCTGTTCCTGTTCCCAGTGTGCGCATGCGCAGAGTTGCCGGAAGACAAGAACAACTCAGAAATCAGGGTCGACTTGGGAGTAAAGCCACTGGGTGATTGGCCCCTCCCATAGGATTCAAAAGAGGGGCGAATGGGGAGGGGGCTTTTGCAGGAAACAATTTGTTCCTTCGGTCGTTTCAAGAGTGGAAAAGTTCTGTTTGTGACTTTAAGAGACTCTATGCCAAGTTTTACGCTTGGAAACTAATTATCTGGCAGCTCGCCAAGCGAGATAAGGTTCGTGTTGATAAATATTCCTCGGAAAGACTGTTTGCTAAGCCTGGCGGACTGTGAATGAAAGGAACTCACAGTCGTGTAAATAAAAGAGGTTTTGCCGGGACTAAGACTCCGCTTCATGCTTTTTAAGGAAGCCCAGATCAGAACAGACCAGCAATGCTCCAATCACATAAACTGAGCTACAGATATTTCAATCAATTAAAGATGTGTTTCTCAACGTTGGCAGCTTAAAGATGGGTGGACTTCAACGCCCAGAATTCCCCAGCCAGCCAGTTTGGCTGGCTGGCTGGGGAATTCTGGGAGTTGAAGTCCACCCATCTTTAAGCTGCCAACGTTGAGAAATGCTAGATAATAGAAGTACCTGAGATGATGGGTTGATAGTTTTTCCACCAGGGTGGCAGACAGCCTCTCCCCCACCACGAGAAGGAAGGTGACCACAATGTCATGGTATCCCTGGTAATAATGGAGTTGCGTGTTGCGTTGCAGAACCTGCAGGATGCAGTCTATCAGCTCTTCCTGGAGACCCTCTCTCTGCTCATCGGGCATGTCTAGAATAGAATAAAATTCTTTATTGGCCAAGTGTGACTGGACACACAAGGAATTTGTCTTTGGTGCAGANAAGATAAAGGAGCAAAGAAATATTGGGAGGTAAAAAGCATCCAACGCTCCTAGAAATTTTGCATTTAAATCACGAATGCCCTACATATCTGGCCAAAGCCATGAAAAAGTTGCTAATCCTCAATTATTTATTTCACAAGCCTCATTATCAGCAGGACAAGGAAGAAACTACTGGGGGTGTGTGTGAAATAACACAATCACTTCAACGAGTCCAGAATGAAGCAGCACAACCTGTTTGTATTCAAATCCCACTTTCATAACACCCCTCTTACCCAATTGCATATCTAATGGGAAGTTTTGGAATTCATACTCGAGTAATCAGATTGGGAGGGTTTAATTGTCCTTTGGCTTGGATTTAATACAACGATCTGAATGCTGGATATTTACAAAAGGATTTTGGGACAGGTAACTGCGCAGCCTGTTCAGCTCTGCGTGTGGCACATTTCCCAAGTTCTAAATCTCGCCGGCTTTAAAGAATACCAAGCCGAAATGCGTTAGGAGACCTGACCCAAATACTTTCCAGAATGAGAAGGAAAAACAAAGAAAATGGTCTAATGCAGATTGTAAAAGGGCAAATACCGAAGCTGATATGGTTGCATGAAGTTATATGAACTATGCAGAATGCACCTTCATTTTTTTTATAACAAATGGTCGAACAGCCGGCCCAGTTCCAAAAATAGATTTTGTCATTTCCCCCCTCCCTTTTATTTTGATTGACATTTCATTTTTGGACACGTTCTTTTTCCTCCTCCGTTCCCTCCAAATTGAACAATGTGTTTTTCTTGTCAACTCTCTGAATGGATTCTTTACATTCGATTTTTTTCCAATCTCAGGCGGAGAATTGAAGATTTATTTCCTTGCCTAGCAAAGCAAGGTAAGGAACTGTCAGCTTAATTACATACAGAAGGATCTGGACAGACTTGAACATTGGGCACTGTCTAATAAAATGAAATTCAGTGGTGAAAAGAGTCAGGTTCTACATTTAGGCAACAAAAATGAAATGCACAGGTACAGTATANTTTAGTCGAACGCGGTTTTGTGGTGGAACCCCCTTCTAGCACTGATGGTATAACCCAATTGGTCACGAAACGTCGGCAAGAAAACAACAGCCAAGCTCAGACAGCAACAAGGATCACGCCATCCTTGTCCTCCGCCCCGCAACCCCCCTTCCTAGCACTGATGACGTTACCTAGCTGGGCAATGAAATGTCTGCAAGGAAAAAGAGCCAAGCTCAGAGAGCCCCAAGGACTCCACAGTCCTCCTCCTCCTCTCCGCAAACCCCACTCCCTTCTCACACTGATGATTTTCCCTAGTCAGGTAATAAGAGGTCTGCAGGAAAGCAACCGAGCTCAGAGAGCACCAGGGACTCGAATTAAGGGCTGGAAATGTTCCGGGTGCAGAGGGGCTGGCACCCCACCCCGAGGCTGGGCAGGGGTTCAGAACCCGGAAGGGCTTCACCTGGCGGAGGCAGGAGGTCGTCGGTGTTCACGTTGAGCAGCCTGGGCCACACTTTGCAGCGGATCTCGTCCAGGAGGAGGCCTCCTTCGCTGATAGCCATGCGCCGGAGGGGAGCAATGTCCACGGGCTCATTGCTGAGCACTTGGTAGATCTCGGCTAACTTCCTCTTCTGCTTGGTGTCGGAGTCTGAAAGAGACGGAAACCTACGTCAGCCGAGGGCCGTTTCTCCCACCAACCATCACGCCTGGCGTAGCGGATAAGGATCCGGCCTAGAAAGCAGGAGGCGGTGAGTTCTAGCGCCACTTTAGACACCGATGACAGCTGGGTGACTTTGGGCCAGTGACCAGGAGACGGTGAGTTCTAGTCCTGCCTTAGGCATGGAAGCCAGCTGGGTGACTTTGGGCCAATCATCAGGAGATGTGAGTTCTAGTTCTGCCTTAGGCATGGAAGCCAGCTGGGTGACTTTGGGTCAATTGCCAGGAGACGGTGAGTTCTAGTTCTGCCTTAGGCAAGAAAGCAAGGTGGGTGACTTTGGGTCTATCACCAGGAGACAGTGAGTTCTAGTCCTGCTTTAGGCATGGAAGCTGGCTGGGTGACTTTGGGTCAATCACTAGGAGACAGTGAGTTCTAGTTCTGTCTTACGCATGAAAACCAGGTAGAAGACAGTGAGTTAGCAATAGCAGTTAGACTTCTATACCGCTTCATAGGGCTTCCAGCCCTCTCTAAGCGGTTTACAGAGTCAGCATATCGCCCCCACAGTCTGGGTCCTCATTTCACCCACCTCGGAAGGATGGAAGGCTGAGTCCACCTTGAGCCGGTGAGATTTGAGTTCTAGTCCTGTTTTAGGCATGAAAGACAGGTGGGTGACTTTGGGCCAATCACTCTCTCTCAGCCCAACCCACCTCACAGGGTTGTTGTTATGGAAAAACAGGAGGAAGGAGGAGCATTAGGCCTGGCACGTTGGCCACCTTGAGTTGATTATAAAGTAATAAAAAGTGGGATAAAAATCGAATAATAAATTAACTCAGCACCGAAGCCCAAGAAGGGAAGTCCAACGGGCATCAGTCCAGCCAGCTGACAAGGATTTTCAGAATGAAGTCGCAACCTTGCTTCCTAACTTGAACACAGACTGAGAAAACAAACATCCTCACCTCAGAAGGCTGTTTTAAAAAGATGGCACCAAACAACCAAAATCAAAAGAGATTTATTTTTTTTAATTTTATTTTATTTTAATTTCATATATACATTCACAATTATATGATCTCATAACT